ACTACGCAAAAGCCTTTGACTGTGTGGACCACAACAAACTATGGCAAGTTCTTAAAGAAATGGGAGTGTCTGACCACCTTATCTATCTTCTGAGAAATCTGTATGTAGGACAGGAAGTAACAGTTAGAACTGGATATGGAACAACTGATTGGTTTAAAATTGGGAAAGGAATATGGCAGGACTGTATATTGTCTCCCTGCTTATTTAACTTATAAGCAGAATACATCATGTGAAAGGCAGGACTGGATGAATCCCAAGCCGGAATTAAGGTTATCAGAAGAAATATCAACAATCTCAGATATGCAGATGATACCACTCTGATGGCAGAAAGTGAGGAGGAATTAAAGAACCTCTTAGTGAAGGTGAAAGGAGAGAGCGCAAAAAATGGTCTGAAGCTCAACATCAAAAAAACTAAGATCATGGCCACTGATCCCATCACCTCCTGGCAAATAGAAGGGGAAGATATGGAGCCAGTGACAGATTTTATTTTCTTGGGTTCCATGCTCACTGCAGATGGGGACAGCAGCCACGAAATTAAAAGACGCCTGCTTCTTGGGAGGAAAGTGATGACAAACCTCAACAGCATATTAAAAAGCAGAAACCACCTTGGCGACAAAAGTCCGCATAGTCAGAGCTATGGTTTTTCCAGTAGCGATATATGGAAGTGAGAAGTGGACCATCAAGAAGGCTGATCGCCGAAGAATTGATGCTTTTGAACTGTGGTGCTGGAGGAGACTCTTGAGAGTCCCCTGGGCTGCAGAGAGAACAAATCTATCCATTTTGAAGGAAGTCAACCCTGAATGCTCACTGGAAGGACAGATCCTGAAGCTGAGGCTCCCTGAAAAATACCCTGATGTTGGGGAAGTGTGAAGGCAAGAGAAGAAGGGGACGACAGAGGACAAGATGGTTTGACTGTGTTATCAAAGCTACCAACATGAATTTGACGAAACTCCGTGAGGCAGTGGAAGACAGGAGGGCCTGGTGTGCTCTGGTCTGTGGGGTCATGAAGAGTCGGACACAACTTGACTAACAACAACAAAATTGGCCTTGTCACTTCAGCTGGACACAGCCCACGCTTTGTCTATCTATAATCATTATTTGTTATTGTCTTATATTTTAGTGTCTTCTGTTTCTCTAAGATTTTTAACACCTGGGAAAAAATACTGGTAGTATATGCTTCAGGAGGATAGATATTCACAAGAGTTATCTTTTTTGACAATTAAAAATCCTTTTATTCTGCTTCAAGATCAACAGATAATAGATAGATCAAAAAGTTGTAATAGCTTTCACTAGATGTTTGCTCGTGATGTGCAAATTCCTTTTCTGTCTACATTTAGTTGGAAATTATTACTACAAAAATAAATGCCTTCCTAATCAGCTAGCAAGACATTAAGTGTCTTTTATTTCACTAAGACTGTATGCCTGTTTTGCTGATTGCGGTTTCTTAATATTTTATCATGGACTTTTGATATAGACGCCTCAGTCCACATTCTGTGTCGGCATTTGAAGCTAATGAGGAACTTTGTCTCCATGTTGCTGTTGAAGGCAAAATTTATCTTACCGTCTATTGTCCTGCTGAAATTGCTAGAGTAACCAGCATGTCTGTCAGTGATAAACTGACAAGATGGGAAGTGTTGGGTGTCCAGGGCGCCTTATTGAGTCACTTCATTCAGCCAGTGTATGTCAGTGGAATCCTCCTTGGTAAGTGAATAATGTTTAATTCATTTTAAAGCATAAATTTCACCATGTAGACTTCCCTGATCTCTGGCTTCAGAGTTCAGGCTTCATCAACTTATTTTGTTTGTTTTCCAAGCAAAGCTATGTTCAAAGAAGCCGTTGCCATAATACGTTTCTGTGTTATACATTTCATATGACCAATAAGTTAGTCAATTGCCAGCCTGTCTCATAATGAACATGATGGCAGATCTGTGCCTGAGAGAACCATGTATATAAACAGAGAGCTGCAGTTGATCTACAGTATTTAGTGAAAATCCAATTATTGTCCCTGTGTTGAGATGTGAGTCAGGTTAAGAGTGGAATACAGTGGTGCCTCGCTTAGCGATTGCCTCTAACGATGTATTCGCTTAGCGATGAGGTTTTTGGAGTGATTTTGCGCTCCGTTTAACGATGTTTCCTATGGGGAAAATTCGCATAGCGATGTTAGGGACCTTGCCTCGCTTAGCGATGACAGTTTTAGGTCCCCTGTTTCGCTTAGCGATGTTCCGTTTTTGCTATTTTTAAAGTGTCTTAAAAGGTTCAAAAACGGTTTTAAATGTTTGGGATCGTTAGAGCAGCTTGTAAAACATGTGCAAACTTAATTTGGCTTTGTTTTGAGTCTTCGTTAATTTTTGGTGAATTCCCCCCCCATTGGAAAGCGTTGAACCCGATTTTGACAGCTGTCAAAATCGGGTTCAATGCTTTCCAATGGGGGAGAAATTCGCCAAAAATTAACGAAGAGTCAGAACAAAGCCAAATTAAGTTTGCACATGTTTTAGAAGGTGCACTAATGATCCCAAGCATTTAAACCCGTTTTTGAACCTTTTAAGACACACTTAAAATTGCAAAAATGGACATCGCAAAACCATTGGAATGCATTGAATAGGCTTCAAGCATTCCAATGGGGGATACATTGTTTCTCTTAGCGATGTTTCCTATGGCCATTTTCGCTTAAGGACGGTAAATGACTAGATAGGCGGGGTATAAATACAATGAATAAATAAATAAAATAATCCGTTCCCATTGGAACGGATTAACCGGTTTTCAATGCATCTCTATGGGAAAACGTGTTTCGCTTAGCGATGTTTTCCCATAGCGATATTTTTTTTAACCAATTAACATCGTTAAGCGAGGAACCACTGTATAATAAATTGTTGATTCTTTGATTTTTGGAGGTTTTTTGGGCTGAACATGGCCAAACAGCCCCCCAAAAATACAACAACCATCAGATCCCTGCCGTGAAAGCCTTCGAGAATGCAAGTTGATTCTTTGCTTGTTCAGATTTTCTATCTTAAGTTTTACTGTGCTATATCAATATGTATACCTCAGTTTAAGTTGTGATAATTGGAGTACACTGGTGCCCTGCTTGACGACAATCCGTTTCAGGAAAATCGCTGTTAAGTGAAATTGTGATCAAGCAGGGAAAAAAACCCATTGGAATGCATTGAAAACCAGTTAATGCATTCCAATAGGGAAAATACCTGATTGTCCAGCGAAGATCCTCCAGAGGGCAGCCATTTTGCAATCCTAATGTTGCGAAAATAGGTCTGGAAAACAGCGGGGAGACATTTTGCGAACCGCCGATCTGCTGTTTTTAATCATCGTCCTGCGAAAAAACGATTCCCGAAGCAGGGACCAAATCAACATAAAGGGGAAAAAACCATAGAAACATTGTTTTGTGATCGCTATAACAATCGCAAAAAAGTCATCGTAAAGCGATTTCGTTGTCTAACGGGGTTGTCAAGCGGGACACCACAGTATTTTATAGAAGTTGAGGTTCAGAGTGAAAACAGTAATTGTATCAGTAGAATAAAGGTTTAAAGACCAAGATGAATTTCTTGATTTTTTTAAAAATTTGGTTTGACTTCAAATTTCTTTTAGGAGATGGAAACTGCCATGATACACGTGGGCTAGAGATAGCTATCAAACAGCGTATTGATGATTCATTGACATCAAAACTGCCCATGTTTTTCTTGGTGAACAGACCTCACATTAGCTTGGTTACAGCTGCTTATCCTGTGCAGATGAACTTGCAACACAAACCTCTTAGTGTGAATTGGTCACAAGGAGACTTATCATTGGAGATAGTAGATGGGCTAAATGGGAAGATCACAGAAAGGTAATTTTATATTAAATATCTTGGTTTTAAAGAATCACTTTTGATTCCACTCTCTTCAAGACTGAATAAGGAATAGCATCATCAAGCTTAATAACAGATAGAGATTATAGTTGGACGTTCTTATAGTTAGCCTTCTCATAACATAGCTTTGTAATAGAAGCTTCTTATCAGTATCCATACACCCCTGAATATGTTTAATTTTGTCAAACATTTTTTTAAACAATGGTTTTAAAAATCTGATAGGTAGCCTTCAAGATTTGTTAATGGAGTGTCCTGTTCATAGTCAATGTTTTCTTCATATTTAGTTCACCCTTCAAAAGTGGTGCTTCAATGGCAAGTCGTCTCTGCAAGGCAGCAATGTTAAGTCGTTTTAACTTAGTGGTTAAAGAATCAAAGAGAGATGATTTACTGAAGGCTGGAACGTACCATGAAGCAAAGGTAAGATTTACTGGTGGGAAATTTACTGTAAGTGTGGGTGTCTTTAAATTCAGATCCAGCATTTATATTAATCCACAACATCTTCAGAATGGGATGACAATGGTTTTGTTTGGCAAACTTAATTTTCATGTGGCAAATGAAATAAAGAAGGTATGACAACTCCTGAAAGTAATATAGTTATGTGGGGAGTTTGTTATGTTAGCCATGTTGACTTGGCAGCATACAGTTTTATTCGAGGGGAAAAATGCTGTTTTCCAAAAATTAATGCACAGGAGGGATTGGTATATAACAAAAGAGGAGAGATGCTAGGTTAACTTATACACACATTTTGTGTTTCAGCCTGGATGCGCACATATAGCTGACAGTGATTTTCCATAGTAATAGTTAGATTTCTTTTCAATTATCTGTTTAATCTTTAATTTTTGACGAAGCCATTACAAATATATAGGCAAGGCAATGACATGGCTTCTGTTACAGTGGACCCTCGACTTACGAAGGTCCCTACTTACGAAAATTTTGAGGTATGAAAAGCTCCAGCCGCAAAATTTTGGTTCAACTTGCAGCCGGAGCTTCGGCCTATGAAAGGCAGGGGGAAAGGGCGGAAAATTCAAAGTCGCCCCCGCTGCCCTCTGCCTCCCATCCCCACAGGGACAGGAGGCAGAGGGCAGCAGGGGCAGCTTTAGCAGCCCGGGATTTTTTTTTCTCGTTTGGCTGGAATGGATTAAATGGTTTTCAATGCATTCCTATGGGAAATGGACCCTTGACCTATGGACTTTTCAACCTGCAGCCACCGTTCCAATATGGATTAATTCCATAAGTCGAGGGTCCACTGTATATAAAAGAACTTAAAACTGGCCTTAATTGTATTGCTTATTTTTTCTTTAGTAGAGACCTGGTAACTTGAGAATGTAGTCTTTGGCAGTACTTGCTAAAAAAGGGGCAGTTTTCAATTCAGAGTTATGTTATTACTGCACATATGTAACGTGGTTAGTGTTCACCCATGGTGGTAACAGTAATTGCCTGGTCACCTTTTGTCTGCAGATATTAAAAGTGACAGATTTTTCTAAATGAAGCATCAGAGTCTGTTTTGACTTTGGTTGATATCTGCAAGTGCCTTATTTAACAATAGCTGTGAAATATTTAGTCTGAATATACAGAGGATGGTGATGTAGCTGCAAGAATAGCAGAGTCTGATTGCAGTTATCCATGTTCCGATAACTTCCTAGATAATGTAATATAGTGTGGTATACTTAGAGCTGCCTTAACATTTTTCACACTGATCAGTTATTGCAGAATAGGCTTGGGTCCAACATTCCCTCTTAATTTTCTGGAGCACTGTGTGGGAGCTCCACCCCTTGTGTGCAGAGTTTGGCAGCAACCGGAAGCAAATGGGTACATGCGCCCACGTGGCTTTAGAGAGAACATTGTTGGTTCCAAGCTATTTCAAAAACTGTATCTCCCTTTATGAGCCTGGCCATGTGTTAAGATAAGTGGGAAGAGGGGTTTTTCTCTCAGTTCCACCACCCTCACAGGTACACTTGATGAAGATAGTAGAGGGCCATCTCTGTTGCTTCTCCCTGACTTTGGAATCCCTCCCCCTTTCTGCAAGCAGACAGATCTTTTTCTTAGTGACTTACTGTATAGGATACAATAAATAGGATGATTTTTATTTTGTTATTCTAAATCTGTATTTACAATGCTTTTACATAACATTTTTAATATGTTATTATTTTAAATATTTGAATCAATTATATTTTTAGCTTTTAATATTGTGTTTTCAATTATGTAAACTGCCTTGGGTCCTTTTTTGAGAGAAAGGTGGGGTAGAAGTATGGTGGTACATAGGTAGGTTTCTACTAGAGATATCTGCTTTATATTCACAGCCAAGGGATATGAATACAAAGCACACCACCACTACAGGTGACTTGGCAGTCCATTCCCTCCCCCCCCAACCAGCCTGGTCCCCACTCAGTATGGCCCGCATGTCTGTTAACATTGTTGTCACACCAATCGCAGATGTAGTCCCACTGGCGCTTCCCTGCCTCTCCCTGCAGCAGGCCACTCCAGTAAGGAGGCAGGAAGACAAGTCTCTCCACTCAGTTGCTTGAGTGGTCAGCTGTGGAGAGAGGCAGGGAAACACCAGTGGGACTACTATGATTGGTGCAATGCTGATGTTGGCGGACACACACGGAGCCCAGTAAGTGGACTGTGGGGGGTTGGAATGGACCACCAGGACATCTGTGCTGGTGTGCTTTGTATTTGTATCCACTGGATACAAATGCAGTACATGGTACATATATCTAGTTTCTGCTAAGGTGTTGACTAGGCATTATGATCTTATTATACCTGTCTTATCTCAGGTGTATTGATCAAGAGTGAATTGTACCTAGAAACAAGGTGATAATTTTGACCTGTTTTCCCTTGCTCCTGATCTGAGATGAGACAGAAGGGTAGCAGAGAATTGTCCGACTTGGTGCCGCACCTTCTTGATGCTTGCATTGTACATCCTTCAGAGATGTTTTCTTAATGCCTTTGTTATTGTAATTTGTTACCAACCAGTGTCTTACTTTACCACCCTTTAGAATGCATTTTTTTAAAAAGCAGGTGTGCTGCTTTTAATTCAGCTGTTTTTTAATTCAGCTATCTGTATGTGTGGTTAGCTATCTGCTTTGATGTTTCTGTGGATTTTAGCATACTTTGTTTTATCTATGCTATAACTGCCCTTTTCCAAAAGCCACCCTAAGAGTGAACCAGGTGTAGTATAGTAATAACATGGCATATTCTATTAGATTATAAATAGACCGTCACTCTAAGGTATCTTAGAGGTTACAAATATTTCAGAGTTTGTAAACATTTTAAATAAACTGTAATGACATTGGGCCACATGATCTTGTCAAAAAGGAAACATACACTACTGTACTAGAAAAGTTTTTTCAGAGTGGGTATTAATCTCTGAGCATTGAATTCTTTCACTTTTAAAATTTAGATCATGGCAGAATCATATCAAGAAGCAAAACGTTTGCTGAAAACCTACCTGGAGCAACAGGGTTATGGATCTTGGATTGTGAAGTCACCACAAATGGAACGTTTTAGTATGTAAAACCTGCGTGTGTGACCTGTTGATACAGGTTCTTTCTCTGAATAGCCTTTCATTTGTTGGTAGTTTTAGATCAGTCTTATGTAATCTAAGAACTTTTTAAAAATTGCTTGAAAGAAAGCTAAATAAATATGCTGCTTGTTTAAAATATGCAGGTCACATTCTTTTCTAAGATTTTTGCCAGTGTAAACATAACCCAAAAAAGTAGTTTGTGTTTTGTACTCTCAGCAGTATTAAGTTTTAAACAGTATTGACAGTGGGTGCTTCATAATAATTGAACTTGAGTCATAAAGATGTATGATTGACAGTTTTTCTGTGATCATTACCAAACCTTCTCAAAGTTTCTTCCAGAATCACCTAACCACTGGTCACGCAGGTGTGGTGCTTTTGCAGATTGTAGTCCACAACAAGTAATTTCTCTAAGCTCTGAAAAGTGTCATAATATGTAATGGTAGGTGATACATGATATCATATATTTGCTTTGCTTTGGGGAAGATTGAGTCCTATTCTGGCTTTAAAAGCCACAATTCTCCTTCTTAATCATCTTGAAACTTTGTGGGCTATTTGCTTTTTCATTTGTGAGCACTTGTATTCAAGACTGCAGGAAAATGTTTTAAGTTGCTCTTAGCTGACAGGAGAAAATGCCCAGAAACACATTCTGAACAAATACATAGTGTATTGATTGGACATCATGGGAATAGTTTTGCTTCTTGTATATTTTTCAAGCTTAGTATTCTTTGTATGTTTTTGTTTGTTGCATGTCTACTTTTAGAAGCTGTATCAGGTGTCTCAGACATTACTTTTTTATTTGATTCTTCATAAACAGTATAGTTTTTAGGGACCAAGATGAAAAATGACTCTGAATGCTTTGTAATCACTTTCTAAAAACCTGATTTGTTTCAAAAGGTAATAATTTTGAATGGTAAATTTGTGTGTAGTGTGTCATTATGTATAAGAGCTGTCTTGATATCCCAAGCTCACAAAGATTATATTAGTTTTAGGTATACAAATAGAAATTGTGCAAAACTGGGCAAAACAGTGCCTAGCATGGAGATTTCATGCTATTTGAGTCCTGTTCTCCATACTTATTTTTTGATTTATTTTATATCCCGCCTATCTGGTCTTGCGACCATGCTAGGCGGCTCTACCTTGCCCAGATGTGCTGATTTGTACCTACATCACATCTGGGACAAGGCTTAGAAGTTCAAGCTGTTTGCAAGAGTATTTAAATTTTAATTTTCTGTCAAAATGTGGCATGTTTCACATAAAAATGTAGTTGTTTGTATATCACTTAAGATATTCACAATATATTCACTTACTTAGTGGATGTAGGCTTAGTGAATGCAGAGTCTTTGTGGATGGCTAATGGGTAGTGTAGAAATTATTCATGTAGTTGTACATAGAAGTTGAATGAATAAATATGTGGTAAGCAACTTCCATACCAATTGGAGATAATAGCTCAGTTCCATCCTTTTGGCTACCATCATGTTATGAACCAACCTTAAGTCTCTGAAGATCAAATGAACATACCGTTCTGTTTATTTTGTAAATTTGGTGGTTAGCTTTGCTATCTTCGGATTCATCCAGAAGCTTTATGTTGAAACATTTTTAGGTTTTTCTATTGTGTATTGAAACATATGTAATATAAAGCAGTAACTTTCTATCCAGTGAAGCATTGGATGTTTCCTTTGCTAAATGAATGATTTCAGTAAAATATTTCTGCTATAAATTGTGAACTGCCTAAAAATATAGTGTTCTTTTTTACTGGAAAGTTTTTCCTGTTTCCAGAAAGCAGCACGCAACAGCAAATCCATGGAGAATTATTCTCATTTTGCAGGAAGAAGACATTCAGAAAGGAGTTACCCCTCTTATTGCCCAGACAAGACAGCAGTTAGTTAACAAAGGTTATAAATTCATAAGGTGAACATAAGTCAGAAGTGACTTTATGGCACATAAAGTGTTTAATGAAACCTTTTCTGAAAAATTATCAATATTTTGGTGAAGAAACATTTATGTTCTTCTGCTGCTTCATTACTGCTAAAATCAGAACTCTTTCTAGTGACTGTTAAATTTGAATTAAAACCAACATTCTGTAAATAATTATCTTATTGTTTTATTTGTTCATTGCTGTTACCTATCATGTTCTCTCCTTTTTAAAAAAGCTACTATTTCTCATCCTCTACATCAGGCTTGTTCAACCTGCGGCCCGAGGGCCGCATGTGGCCCAGGTCAGCTCGTAATGCGGCCCAGTGCAATTTTTTATTTTTAAAGAAATTCCAAAGTTTCAAGTTACACTGCCGGCGCTTGCGGCCAGAATGTGGCCAGGGCATGTCACAACAGTAGAGGGGGAGAGAGTGAAGGAAGGAAGGGGAGGGGAGGGGAAAGGGGGACTGCATGACTGCATTGTGCCATCCCTGTCAATAGGTGGACCCCCTCCTGGCCCCATAAAGCCAGTCGAAGCTGGCAGCCTCTGCTGTATGAGATCGCAGCTGCCGGTAAGTGCGCTTGGAGCGGGGCTGTGGAGGATGGCTAGGGCTGCCCCCCCATGTGGCCCAAACCAAATGTATGTGCAGCCCAAACCAAATTTTCATCTTCTAATATGGCCCAGGGAAAGTGGAAGGTTGGACACATCCTTACTACTTTTTGTGGTCCCATGGGTCCATTTATTAAATTATCTCCCACCGATGGATGCCCTTAAGTTTCTCGCATTTCGTTCAAGTAGCAATTAAAAATAAGCAGTCTAGATTCCAATGCCTTTAAGAAAAATCTTTAATTAGATATCAGCAAATGCTGTAATGATAAATGCTGCTGGCCAGCAGAATTTGGCAAATTATAATTGAGGCAATGGGGGAAGCACCTCATTTTTAGCAAACCTCATCTGGGCTTTTTCCACACACAGTGGTGCCTCGCTTAGCGATGTTAATTCGTGCAGAAAAAATCGATGCTAAGCAATATCGCTAAGCGAAAATAAAAACCCAAAGAAACGCATTAAAACACGATTAATGCATTCCTATGGGCTTAAAACTCACCTTTAAGCAAAGATCCTCCATAGCGCCACCATTTTCGGTGCCTCTAAAGCGAGGAATCCGTGCCTGAAAACAGCGGGCGGCCATTTTGTTTGCCTGGCGGCCATTTTGAAATCGCTGATCAGCTGGCCGAAAATGGGGGCTTCCCTGCGATCATTGAAAAGTGAAATTTCCCTATAGGGAGCATCGCAAAGCGATCGCTATACGGAGCGATCGTTATGCGAGGCACCACTGTACAGTATTCAGTTCTCGATCCCCCATAATTGCAATTTGGCATGAGCAAGTGGATAAAATGGTAATTGATGTGATAGTATACACATTAGCCAGATATATACATTTGTATATCCTAACAGTTCCCATGTATGAAGAGATGGCAAACCAAAAGATTCCAGAACCATGAAGGATATTCAGTAACTGAAAACATACAATTGGTTAATTATTGCTGTGCAGGCATGCAACAGTAGATGTTGTGCAAGACCCCAGTTCAACATTCCATAGGCCAACTCAAAAAATAGGGATTCTTCAAACCAAAAAATACAACTTTTTATTTTAATTTGGAAATAATCTAGGCATTCTGGACTGTAACAGTGATGTTGAAAATAGCCATTTGAGAAACCAAAAACTTCTGGCTTTCTTAGCTGCATGAACATTCCAAATATAAGCATTCTTTCCAGCTTGAAGGAGGAAGGAGAGCTGAAGTTCCAATCTTGCCAGTCAAGAGCAAATTAAGTGACTCTCAGGAAGACTGTAATTCCTTTCTGGGCAAATAAACATTTAAAAAAGTTTCTATTTGTGGTGTAAAATATATTTTGAAACTAGAGAATAAATATTCAGCAGTTAACTCATTTAAGTTGTGAAATTACTGTTTTTTGCTTTGTGGCCAGGAATGATTTGAAAACAAGATTTTCCTCATTTTCCTGTTAATAAGTTTACCCAGGTTACTCATGATTAAGGACCCAGCAGCTACCAAGGACACCTGCAGTGTGATGGGAGAACATTGAGGTGCAGGTTGGGGAGACAGACAGAAGGGAGGAAATACCTCATTTTCCCTGCCTTTCTCCTCAGCCAGGGCTTTGCTGCCTTGTGTGGACAGAGTCCATAGAGTCAACATAGCCACCTTCCCTTTCTTTTCTCTCAGACAAAATTCAGGGGGTGACTTTCTACTCTTTGTTTGTTTGTTTACAAAGTGGCACATTGAGATGGCAGTGCATCAACCTGGCATGTTTTAACAGTTTCACTGTGTTGGTTATGAAAATACTAAAAATAAAAGAAGATGAAAATAGAGGAGGGGTTTCCCTACCCTCTGTTACAATGCCTCAACCCACCTAGTACTTCTCAGGGTTGTCTCCTCAGTTACCATCCCCCTCAGTGTCATTTTGAAGGCTAAACAAACTATTTTGCATCTCAGTGAATAATGCCAAATAGATTGCATGCCCTAGTCCTGAGTCAGAACAGCTCTTAAAGGCAAAGGATGGATCATTTTAAGTAGAAACACAAGTGAATGAGTTCTTTCATGTCAAAAAATGCCATCGGGGTTCCATATACCATAATTATATGCTAGAGTGGACAGGCTCCATATGACTCTAAATTCCAGCAATGCATTACCTACTTTTTTTGTTGCAGTAATGTTTGGCTGGATTGGTTGGTTAGCTAAAGTGACACAGTTATATATTCTCTAGTTGAATAGATATAATCGGGTGGCACCGTTATGTATTCTCTAGTGGAATAGATATAATAGGGTGTAAGTTAATTTCATGATGAATTGTTAGTCAGCTAAATTGTTGAATTGTTTCAATTAACACCTAAATACAGTGGTGCCTCGCACAACGGGCGAGGCAAATGCGATCGCAAAACGATGCCCGTACAGGCTGTGATTCACAGAGCGAAGGTCGGTAAGCTGCTCGCTT